TTATTGATGTAAATCGATCACATCAAAGTGGAATACATGGAAAATGTATACCCATATTTGATATGAATATTGTTACAGTAGAAATAATTAATTCAATTTATGATATATTGATTATGGTTAAGATTAGGGATAAATATATGAACAGGAAAAAGATTTATCAAAAACAAGGAATCAATTGAAAGTGAAAGATTTTGAAATGTCTTTTCAAGAATATATTTATTAGCTCAAGTGAAAAAGAAATTCAACTATTGCTTAATTCTCTTACAGTCTACTGCAAAACAAGACTTGTTGACTTAAATCCTAAAAAAAGCAGTTTATCAACTATAGGGATCTGAAATTGACATCTCCGATCTAACAATTTTTTCTATCAAGGATATCCATTAATGCATATTTAAAATTTTCGATATCCTGAATATGAAACTCAACAGTCGAGTTTCTTGTAGAATCTGTCTTAATCATACTTTGATGAACATTGTATCTCGAATCTTCATGCTTAAAACTTTAAACAGAAAATAGTTATTTTTAATCTTCAGAAGAAAGTCTTTCATAAAGCTTTTTTGTTATAATTTGAAACTTTCCTATGGATTTATTTATTGGTTCGATCATTCCTTTTTTTTCCTATTACAAAGAAATCTAATCGGCTCGATCGTTTCTATCTTCATTGGAGATGTTTTTAGAGAACTCTTATGAAAGGTTGAGATACGTTGAGTTTATATCATTAGGATGCTTTTATTGATCTCTTAGAAGTGATATGCTTGTGACAACTGTTAAAGCAACGTGTATGCGTTTGAATTCATGTCAGATACGATGGTTTGGTGGACACTATGTTCATGCTTTTGAGTTTCGGTTTCGTTTTCAATTATTTTATCGTTCTTTATTTGCTTTCTATATTTTACATACACGCTCTCTTGTATATGAATAAAGAGAAGAAAATAAAACGTTGTATTCTTCAAGTTCTATTCGATGATTATGATTTTAAGAAAACTAAAAATATTAGATGTTAGCTGTTAGATTTTTTTGTTTTTGAAAAATTGTCCTTTTCTCGTGATAAGTTAAGAAGTTGCAAATCAAGAAGAAAAACAAAACTTTTGAAACAAATTTAAATGTTGTTGACATTCAGTTTTGTGAATAAAAGCATTGCAACTAAATCCTTGTAGTGAATAAGAATTCTGTTTTATGATCTTCTACTTCGTCTCATGAGTAATCCTGATTATCAAAAACTTCAATATGTCTTTCGTGATAATAAAACATTGTTATGCTTACTTGTTTCATCAGACGAAAGATACACAATGTATTGGAGTTAAAGAATACCACAAATCTTAAAACTTCAAAACTGATGCAGTCGATTGTTGTTCTCCTTATCTCAATAAAAAGCAAAGCATAGTAATTAACATCCTACGAACAACATGTCTATATCCCCATAGGAAAGTAAAGGCCGCAATGTATTGTTTATTCCGATTAACATAAAATAACTAACGAGGCTATATTCCTAAGTGTCAATTCGCTGTCCAGTCGAAGCTTAGTTCGTCCTATAGATCTAAATAAACTATATAAGACACTACAAGATTTTTTTGTCCAGCCCTCCTAAAAACTGTATATTGAGGTCAAGTATTATGCTATAATACATAGACATATTTAGAATTATGTGCAAAATTTCACATCTCTAGGTTTTGTGCAAGCTCTTATTTTTAAATTTCTTTCAGCTCAGTCATATGTGATTTTTTAATAGCTCAGAAGATCGATCTAAAACAATGATTTCATATGAATAGAAAATTGACTCAACGTAAATGGAAAGTTATGTCCTTTTTGTATACGCATGATGAACTTCAGAAGCTTTAGATAGCATAGTTCACAATAGGTCTCATGAATTTCAACTGAAGAAATTCATGTTGCTCGTTGAGAAGTTGTCCTTCAACTACTGTTAACACAGATACAATTGATACTACCCGAGCGATAATGGAAGATAGTTCTCAGCGAGCACACAAATAAATAGAAGACACTCGGAGCATTATTTCATCATCAGTTATTTCAATATGTTTAAACTTCTACAGCATTTTATGCTCAATAAGTGCATTATTAGTTTCTTGACGACTGAAAGTTGTTCTATGTTGAATCATCTGGTAGTTTACTGAAGAGGTTTGAAAAGATCAATGTCAATCCTGCATTCGGCATTATCACTAGTGATCGACTATAGTTATATCATAAGAATTGACAATAAGAAGTATAATCGAATGTTACAAAACAACCCAATGACAGTCAAAACTCATTGCAGCAAAATTTTAGACAAATACATTATACTAACCTTTTTTCTTTTACACAATGTAGCCTAATGAAGTTCATTACTTGGAATTTAGTAAATAGAAGTTAACCTGTCAATAGTTGTCTAGCATAAGTTTTCAAAGTATATCGGAAAAGAAATAAAAGATTGGTCTTCACCGCCTCAGTTTTCACTATGAAAACACAAGATCATGAGCATTCTAGGCTCTCAATGAATTTTCCAGTCAAAGTCATATTCTACAGATTTAAACCCATGTGACTTCTTTCTGATGTTAAAACTGACGCATCAATTTCACAAAACTAGACTCAACGACAACAATGCAATATTACACATACTTTAAGCAGTCATCAATGGCTTGTCAAAAAAAATGATGACAATCTTCAGTACAGTGACCTATTTTAATCGGATCCACCAGTGCATTGTTGATGAGGAATGATATATTGAAAAAGAACAATGAAACCAGTCTTTGAATATTTCTCAAAAGGGATGATCGACCAAAAGGCTTTTGAAGTGTTCCTTGTATATCTATCAAACAAAAAAAATCCGTGTTGATGGTCTGTTTCTGAAGAGATATCTAACGCTAAAGATCTCAACGACACAAGCTTGCATAAAATATTTCAGCCATGAAACTTTCAAAAATACATCTTGTAAGTATAAATTATCTACGGAACAAGGCTTCGATTTTGAAAATTCCATATGTTGGAAAGAATCAGTTCGAAAATTGTGAATTTTTTTTATGCAAGTCCATTTAGTTGAGGTCTTCAGCTAGGCAAAGTTCCAGATGGAGATTCGAAACCATTGATCTTACTACAAAAGTGGAGTCCTACAATGAAAATTTACTAAAAATGTTTGATATTTCTTGAGAAACAAATTATCAACATGAACTGTTTTTTCTTGGTGGATATAGTTGATTAAGATCTATAAGATGTACTAAGTGTCAAATCAAAAAGTGAATTGACACTTGGAAATGCTTCTTAGTGAGTATAGTACGAAAGATGTCTACAATTTTACTTTAAAGAATTTTTGTATCAGATTTCATTCTATTCTCATTCTCATTAATTAATTCATGATCTATTGAATTTTTTCATCAAGTATATTTAAATGTAAATTAGTATGAACTCTATGATAATTATGTTGACAACGATAAAAAATTGTTCATAAATGTGTTTGACTTTGAGAATAAGCACTACTGAATAGATAACAGTTATTGAATCTGCATATGGATTACTACGACATAAATCATATGATTTTATTCTTCCAATTGTGTCGATTGAATATGTAGAATCATCTGAAAAATTTTCATATTGAATAAAGAAAATTAAAGATTTCTTTTTGGATTACTTTAATTGTATTCACATTACTCCAATCGTTAGTTGCATCGGTACGAAAATTCATTTATACTCGTTTGATAAACTACTTCATCAACAGGACGTATTAAAATTAAATAACCTGTTTGAAAAGTTACATGAAAACATCGTGCATTATAAATATAAATATCTCCAATCATAATATATTATTGTGTAGCATTAAATCGATTATTTATTACAAGATGTAAAATTGTTGAATCAGTTATTGATAATATTTTACGAGATGAACCTATACACTCCATGTATCCTGATATGAATGTTCATCGTCTTCATTCTCATTCCATGAAGATAAAATATCACCCTGATGTACAACAGCAAAAATTTTGAACCTAAAAAGAAATCTTCTTCATATGATTAAGAAAATAATAAATCTCAATTTTTATGTCAAAGAAAACAATAGAGAATAGAAGCGATGGAAAAATCTATATACACCAGTGAAAATACTCATCAAGTGTGCAAAAATGGTCGACTTCCACTTTACTTGACTAATCTTCGTATCAACTAACTAGTTTTCGTAAACTCACCATAGACAGCACACGATCAATCTTTTAGATAAAGCAATAAAGTTTTAAATAGATCTATTTTATTCCTCTCCCACAATAGTAGAGGGTGTGAATGAAGAGAAGAACAATCACATCCACTCTTGAGAAATAGCAACGAACGACCAAAGTGTTCACGATTAATAAACGAGAGTATTCAAAATGCCAGTTTAGAATATATTTTTCTCAAAAAAAAAACTGATGAATGAAGGATTGCTCTGTAGCCTTAGGAGACTTTCTTCCTTAACTCTTCCCCCCCCCCCCCCTCCCTAAACAGAATAAACGAAAAGTATGTTGTATTTGTCTTGCATTCTGTTATAATTACAAAGCATTTTTTTTAAAAGGTAATCTGAATTATTTCATTTTCACGACAAAGTGATAATAAACAAATTTCTTTGTAGATTGTTGTCATATTTTCTCAAGTGTCTCAAGCATCTTCACAAATGCGATATATTTTCTTGTTTTTCATATGCATCAATTGCTATCTAAATATAAAAGAAAAGCGAAAACAAGCGCTGGTCAATTTTTTTTTTGTTTCTTCAAACGTGACGGCCGCCGCCGCCAAGCTGCGAAAGTGTAGAACGAAAAAAAAAGATGAAAGAAACCCATATACAGAGGGCATGTAACGGTTGTCCTATTCGTTTATATCCTTTGTTTTAATCCATATATTTGTCCGATTGCATTTCAGACATACATACATAGCAGCATTTGTCTTCCAATGGCAAACAAACAAAATAATGCTAAAGGTTGTTTCTTTATTTTTTTTTTTAAATCACAAAATATTTTTTTTTTACTTCTATAGATCCAAATGAAATTATGAAAATAAAGGATCTATTTCGTACATTTAATATGTATGAAAATATTGAACCATTATCCGATGAAATAAAAGTATTTCAATGTGAAGAAGCTGATGAAACATCATCAATAAATAGTGCACTTAGTGCAATGTCTTTAAGATCAATAGCTAATAGTCGTTGTAATGAAAATATATCAGTTAATGATGATATACAACAAAGATTAAAACGTATTCATCAAATGGTTGCATCAAGAAAAGAATCTAAAGATAATGAACAAGAAATAATTCCAGTAAGTTTTTTTGTAGAAGTTTTTAGTATTAAATTTATGTTTATTTTTTAGAATCGAATCGAACGTAATGAAGATGATGATGAAGAGGAATATGATGAAGAAAAAGGTTAGATTTTTTTTCTTTTTCTTTTTATTAAATTCGAAATATTATTTTCAGGTGCTCAATTATTACAAAAAATGATCGCTTCAGTACTTAAACCTAAAAGCAGACAAAAAGAAGCTTTTATACAAGTTTGTATTCAATTATAAATGAATGTTTTTATAATGTATTTTGATAATTTAGAATATGAATTTTAAACCAGATTTAGTCACAAGTACAACAGATAAAAAGTATCGTTGGCCACAATATGATAAGTCAGATAAAAATGGAAGAATTTAATTATTATTTTGTAAATGTCAGATATAATTTCTTTTCTTTTGTGCGTGAAATGTAAATTTTTCTTTTTTTTTGATATTGTTTGCTGCTTAGCAATAGTTAAAAATGTTGAATGTAAATGGCGGGCAATACTGCCGTGATTGGTTATGGAAGAGAAAAAAAAAGAAATAAATGTAAAAGTTGAAATTTCTTTTGTTGAGAATCGAAAGAGGCAGAATAAAAAACATGGCGATTAATAAAGATAATGACATGGAAGAAAACTCAGAAGTAACTATTGATGAAACAACACCGGTTGTTTCTCGGGCTCAATCAAATTATAGTACACAACGAACGAAATTATTAATTGCACCAACAAAATATGGAGAGAATCGGGCACAATATTTATGGAGATTATTACGATGCTCGATTCGCCGAACAATTGACGCTGTTTCACGAGCTGATGATACCGGTAGGAGATGAATAGATTATTTTGTTGAAAATACAATAATTAAAGCTTTCGAAATGGATGTAGATTTACTTTTGCATAACTCTATTTTATAAAATATTAGATAAAGTAAAATGATAGAAAGGTAATGATAAAACTGGTGAGCATGTTATGATTGAGGAAGAAATTGAATTTTCTAAATAAAAGTAAAAATTTGTTGTTGTTGATTCTTAACCTTGAATGATGCAAATCCTATTTTTCTTCTTCTTATCCTTTATGATTAGTTCCTTTTAGAATTATAATATCTACCTGAGTACGCCAACATGTAATAGGGAATATATTTTCATTTGAGAATTTAACTAAAGAAATGTCTCTTTTGTAGCAATAAGAGGGCAAGCTTAGTGCATAACTTCTGTGATTTATTCATCGATAGGAAAATATTGAAACAAGCTACTTCTTTCATGTAAGTATACCATGCATTACTTTATAAAATGAAAACCACTTCTATTAATTGATCATTAATAACGATTAATTTTTCGTATAACTTTTTTGTGTATGAAGTAAATCGATTTTTCTTTCGCTTTCTTCGAATGTGTGAGTGAAAAAGAGAATCTTAGTTTTTCTTTCTTTTAATAGCAGAGAAACTTTTTCTTTTTAGTGGCATTGGAGAACAGAACTTAATGAGAATAGTTTATTGAAAATTTCAGATCATTTATTATTCTTATCCTAAGATACAACTATGATAAAACTTTGTCTTATACATCGCTCATATATACCAGGTGGATTCAATATTCTTATTTCAGGAAAGAAGAAAATAATAAGACCTAAAATTTTCACAACAAACTACTCATCAAGTCATGTTTCCAAACAAAGCTTCAAGTCGAAATTCGAAAACGAATTTTCCTAGTGTCTCTAAGGAGAACCATGATATTGACTTAAAAAATATCAGAAAGTTTAGTAATTAGTTAAGCACTCCAACGATTTTCAGAGTATTTATGGCTCATTAGGATCTACATGATGCACATAGTCCCGATTACATATGTACTAGTTCCAGTTTTTTACTGGTTACCCAGTTAACTGGCACTCATTTAACTGTTAAATCAGTACTACGAGTTTTTTATGCAGAACATACTCTTCTCTCTATCATTACCAGCGAAAACAATGAAAGAGATCTGATAGACAAATGGCTAACCGAACAAACGTAAGCAACGAAAAGTTCGTAATAAAATAAATTTGATTGAGAATGAGAGTGAGGAAAAAAATCTTATTAATGGAGAGAAGGATGTATTTGGAATGATAACTAGTAGCAATTTAGACATGCATCAATATTTTTATAGTATCAAGCTGATGTAATTAAAAAGGCTTGGAAAAAAAATGAAATACTGTTGAACTAACTATCGCAGTCATTGGAAATTATACGTACCTAGTTCTGTCTCAAAAAATGATTTATTAGTTGACGAACTTCATTAGATTTCATTAATAAATTATTGATTTTTATCTTCTGCTCTTGTAATAATTGTATCTCATTGTGATTGAAATATTCGAATCATATTTTCAGCGGAATTCTATGAATTTTAAATATATAGATATTGAACGATCACATGGTCTACATTTTGTACGAAATATAAACCATGATATTCAAGTTAAATGTATTTCATTCAATATTAAACGAAAAGTGAGGCATAATCAGTTTAGCTAATATGCAATTATTTTGTTGCTTTTCTTTCAAAAGGAAATCATCAGTATTGATCATAAAAAAATTGCTCGTATATATTATTCTGATGGTCGAGCATATAGAAAATTAAAACTTGATATAGAATTTGATCAATTATTTTATTGTACAAGTGAAGATGAATTTATTGCTTGGTCACGTTGGTCAAGAGAAATTCATGTACTTAGTTCTGATCTTGAAATTTTATCAACATCAACTTGTGATTATAATATTGGTGATTTAAATTATAATGAAATAACATCAGATGTATTTACTTGTGGAAGAGGTGTTACTGTATGTTTTGTTTGTTTTATTTTTTGAATAAAGATTATATGAAATTTTTCAGGTTTGGCAATTTCGTTATAATCGAAAACATCTATTACCTAAATTTGAATGTCGAGAAGGTTATACAGATGATATAGAGTTTAGTATAATGGCTGTTCAACAAACCGATAGTTCTGTTCAAAGATTATTTGTTACATCGGGTTATGATGTTTTGGTATTTATGTTGAAATATGATTATTACAAATTTTCTGTTTGATTTTGTTTGAATAGACTTTTAATGTAGCGGATGAAGGAAAAGTTTTTTCAACCAAACAAGATTTACATGTTCGACCGATTGTAGCAATGCTTTTTGTTGAACTACGTGATGTTCTTGTTACAGCCGGTCGTGATGGATCAAGTTTGTTAACAAACGTGGTCGAGCTTTAATTTATTAATAAAATCTATGTTTTGTTTTATTTATTAGTTAAAGTTTGGGATAGTCGTTGGTTTATTTTATATGCTTATGTTGGTCATCAAGATCGAGTATTATTTTTAAGTAAACACCCATTTGGACCTTATGTTATTTCAAGTAGTCAAGATCGAACAATTCGTGTATGGAGTCTTGAATATGGTGATGTTGTTGATGTGTAAGTGAATGTATATTTTTAATTTATACATTTGCGTTTCTTTTTTATTTTAGTATTAAAGTGCCAGAACCAATAACTCATATGAATGTAACGCGAAATTATGAAAAATTTATTGTAACATCAACTAAATGTTTACAATTATGGTGTATCAAACATTATTGTGATTTTTTAAGTTTTATTGGGTTTGTAAAAGAATTCTGAGAGAAAAAAAGAAAGTTTGAAAATATTTTCTTTAGCTCACCTATTGTAAAAATAATTTGTACAACACATCCAGATTATCCAACACGATCGACTCTTTTATGTAAAGATTCAACTATACGAATAGTTGCTACTGCTACTGGTAATATATTAACAAGTCTTGTTTGTGATTTAAGTTTTAAACCTACATCATGTGCTTATGCAGTTGGTGAAAGTATGTTTGTTTTTGTTACTTTTTCTTCTTGAATTTCAATTGAAAGCATTTGATTTTAGATACACTTTTTGTTAGTAATGGTCATATACTTATAAAAGCAGATACATCATTAAATCCTTGTAAAATTGCTCAACAATTTGATATAACGGAATGTAAAAAGAAAATTTTTTTTTTTTTCTGATTGACGATTAAATTTTTCGTATATTTAGATTCAATTAATTGTTTATTAATCTATGAATATGTAGCAAAGAGTAATATGGAAGAAACACCAATGCTTAAAGCATTAGTAACAAAACCAAGTAGTGAATTAATACATATTGCATTAAAAGGTTTTAGTCGAACGTTACTAATTGCTGGATTAAGTAATGGTTGTGTTGCTGTTTTAAAATGGCATACTGGAGAAATTGATTTCTCTTTGGATGTAAGTCTAGAAATAAATCTTTATGATCAACATTACACTTATAGAAATATTACTTCACAGATTCAACAAAATCTTAAAGGAGCTCTTGTAATGCAATTAGAAGAGGTTGATTACTAAAGAAACAATAGAAAAATATCAAGTTAATCTCATGCATGATTATAAATGTATGCGGTCGTAGTTTTTTAGTCACGGTTAGAGCTCGTTAGGTTCAAAATTTTCGAGTCTGGATTCAGGACCAACTCGATGGGCTCTAGACCTGGCCCGATCCTCGTAACTTCTTTCCTAAGTATTGCACCCTAAAAAAGCTCTTCAATACGTTTTATTTGTTGAGTCAATGAGTAGTACTTTTCAGGTCATCTCTATTGAATTATGTTCGGATTGATGCGGTCTATAACATATGTTGCTAAAAACCATAGAATATGTAATTGTAATATTCAGTTCGGCTTAGAACTACTTATTTCCTGTAGTTTCAATCCCAGCAACTGAAACCAAGACTGAAGCTGTTCCCGAGCATCTCCATTCATGGCATTGATGTGCTATTGAAAGTTTTATTATTATTATTTAGATGCATTCCGCTCGTCCAGTTGTTGATATTATTGCTCATTCAAGTGCTGATCAGATTATATCATGTGGTGCTGGTAATAGATATCTCAGCTTATCTTAATATATTGTTAGATTTAATTTTCTTGTTTAGATTTAATTATTCGAATTTGGCGTGTGTTTCCTTACGCTGTTGAATCACTTTCAGTTGTTCGTTCAATATTTTGTGCTTTACCACCAATTCATTTAACTATAGTAAAAAATTCACTTGCGGTTGCTTTTCGAGAAGAATCAACATTGACACATTCATTAATGGTTTATAATTTAGAAAATAATGGTAAATTAATTTATTAAAAAGTTTAATAATGAACTATTTTTTTTTTGTTTTGAAATTTTTCAGAACGATTTGATCATTTACCAGAAAATGATCATTGTGATAAAATATCAGCAATATCCGGTTGTTCAAAATTAAAATTAATTGCTACTGGTAGTCTTGATGGTACATTAAGAATATGGAATGGAAAAAATCAATTAATCAGGTATTAAGAATAGAAAAACAAAAAATTTATTTCTTGAAATAAATTATTTTCTTTTTCAAGAATGATTGTTATTCATGATAATATTCATTCGTTACATTTTTCAAATGAATCTGGAGATTTAATTCTTGGTATAAGTGATCATCTATATAAAATGCATCATTCGTCATGTAAGTCCATCAAAATGATAAACATAACATCTCATGCAAAAGTAATTATTAGACAAATCTCGGTCTATATTTTTCTTTCGAATTGTATAGATCTTGTTTTTATCACAAGTTCATAAACAAACTAGTAGACATGAGCGGGGCAAGTTCTTTTTGGTCCTGATTGCAGTGTAACTCGCTCCATCTTATCCACATTAATACAATAGAAAAGAGAAGCACTCTCAACACAAGTTCGTATTTCTCATATAATGCAAAATAAAGATAAAAAAATATAAAAATGTGTATCCCTTTAGTAAACACATGTTGAAGCGAGAACCTTTTTTACGAGATGATCAAAGACTCCCTCCTCTTTGGAATTGTTCTATAACTCAAATCTATTATACCTTTAAAACTAAAATAACCAAACTATGGTTTTTCGCAACGTTATTCCTACGTAAGGTGAATTATATTTAGTCGTCTAAGATAATTTCACAATCACAAGAAATTATTTTGTATAACTGATTTTTGTTTTGCTTGAGTTTTATTGTTTATCTTTGGAATATTTTTCTGATAACAACTGATGTCAATTTTCATAAGTTAAGACTGATTGTTGATTGGTTAACATTGAGTAATACCAAATAATTATTAACAGGTTTCATCAAAGGGTTTTCATTTTTAATTTGAAAGTTTTACTGGACGATTATTCCTTGGTAAACGTTTTCTTTGGTTCATATTTCAAATATATATTCTATAAATTGTTGCTCTTGAAATACTTTGCCTGATAAAGTAATTAACAGTTGCTTTATAGGTTTAATTGATGAACCATTAAAGAAAAACTACTACAAACCCTACGTACAGATATATTCATTTCATCTCGTGTCATTTTGTTTGTCAATTTATAACAAAATTACGTTAAATAGAGTTTAAAAGAGAAGGTAATCTCGTATCATATGATAAAAAGACTCTCCTTCTAACAGATGATTACTAAAGAAATCTACATCTGGACATTTTTGTACTGCTCTTTTGCATTTTTTCAAAACACTAATTGAAAGAGAAAAAAATTGTTTACTGTCTGATATACAAAAAATTTTCTTTCGGTACCTAGCTATCAAAAAGTAATAGCGACCGACATTCATAGAATTACTTATGCACTATATGTTATATATGTATATACATATATTTATATATATTTTTTTGTTTTTAAATCAAAGATTTACCAAAAGCTATTATATTTAAAACAATATCAATGGAATTTAAACCAATAATACCGGAAATAAAAGAAAGTGAAGAAACCGATAATACACAATTAACTCGTATGTCATCAGCAGATCTTATTCGTTTAAAAAGAGCTCATAAAGCTGAAAAAATGTTCGTAAAAACAAAGAAAACACTAATTCTAATTTTATTTTTAATATTGAATTATTGTTAAAATAGGCCATTAAATATTATTCCTGAAAATGTCGATATTTCAGCATTTCATGCAAAATCAGTTGAACAAATGAAATTAAAAACTCAAGTAAAATAATAAAAAAGAATTTAAAAAGAAATATGACAATATTCATGTTTATTAAAGGAATTAGAAAAATTAGAAAAACGTGATCTAGAAATTGCTCAAATTGCCGAAGGAAAAATTCATCGAACTAAAAAATATAAAATATCATCAAAAGTTCGAAAAGAAGCATTTAATGAATATATGAAAATTTATTTAAAAGAGCCGAAAAAAGGGGTGAGTTTTTATTTTACTAGATAAGTTGTCTATTTAATCAATTGGATATTTTAGTTATTAGATGATGATATGTATAAATTAACAGAACAAGAATTATTTGGTCCACCAATAACAAGTAGACTAAGAAATTTGATTAGAATTTGATTATGATTTTGATGTTCGATTTAGAATCTGATCCGTATGTGATTCAAAAAGATGATGATGGATTTTTTCCTTCAGTAAAAGAAGCAAACCAAGATCCTCTATCCAAACTTTATGAAGAACGTCAACAAAAACTATCTGAACTTCAAGAACACTATCGTGATCAACCACCATTTCCTAATGATGATATTCGTATTATCAAACAACAACAAGATAAATATGAACTTAAAAAATTACTTAGTAGTAATTTTGAAAAGATAACATTACCTAGTGATCGTCCTCAGTATGGACCTGGTGCTATTGTTCCCAATTCTGTATTAGTAAGAGAAAGAACAAAACATACTTAACATGGATCATTTTCTTTTCTTTATTCGTTTAGGCTAAATTACTTTGGCCAAATCGACAGCCGAAAAAACAAGAACGAGAAGAATGGTTACCACCTGTTTTATCTGAAGAGCAACTACAAGCATTAGAAAAAACTGCACCAGGTGTACGTAAAATATAAATACTAATAATAATGTTGAATAATAACATTTCTTTATATATCTATACAGCGTTTAACAAAAAAAGCTAAAGAAGTTCAAATTTCTCAATCAATTGTAAGGATCGTTTATCCCTATGTACACACATAAATAATACACATTCTTTTATTTCCCGATTCATTTGCACAAATAATAACCTATCCATTTGTACAAATAATAACCTATTCATTTGGTTTAGAAAATAGACAAAGAAAACAACATTTCATTGTCATTATAAATTTAAAAAAAGAAATATTTTTTTTAGGATGAAGAAGCTGAATGGAAAGAATTAATAGAAGCAACAATGAAAAAGAAACTCGCTACTGATGAAGAGGATATGGATGATCGTTTAGAAAAACAGAAAAAGAAAACTCAAAGTGATTTTATGAAACAATTAACTGATCTTGCACAACAAGTTGTTGAATTACCACCACAAG